GGGTTAACGTGGGGTTTGAGGGGTTTGGCGTGGGATGTTTAGATTTTTATTATTTCCTCCCCTGCAGTTTTCTCCACTTGGCGATTATTCACGAGGAAAAAGCCCTGAGCCTGGAGGTGATCCGACAGACGGCTGGGGACCGTGCTTTCCTGAACTTCCAGAACAACCTTAGCCAGGTACTTGCACCTCCGCAGCCCCAGATACGGATCAGACCCTGACACCCCACAAAAGCCTTCCGGGGAATTTCACTCCCCCTTCCCCCAACTCCTCTTTTGTTTTTTTAATTGATGGAATCAATTAAATCAAAGCCTACTTAAATCAAAGCGTGCGTTCAGGGAAGTCCCCAGCTGGCTCCAGCCAGTGTTACGACAACACTTCCTCTACCCCGAGAGCGGCACTTAACACCCGCATTTTTCAAATGTGATGCAATGGGTTGCATCCCTCTTTACTGGGATGTTAATGATACCTTTCATATGGATTGACTGTTGGGTATCCAAAGAGCCCTAAGTTCATAACTTCCAGACTAAAGGGCAACTCTACAGTATGTTGGGAAGCGTAAGGAGCTGAGTTCACGGGGTGTGATTTTAACTGGGGGCACAAACCACCAAGCGATTGAGGGGTCCGTCCAGATGTTGCTGCCAAGTTTGGGGTGTAGCTTACAGATCTGCATTTTCTCTTTTGCCTGCAGACTCCTCTTCACCTGGCAGTGATCACTGACCAGCCTGAAATTGCTGAGCATCTTCTGAAGGCCGGATGCAACCTGGAAATCAGGGACTTCCGAGGAAACACCCCTCTGCACATCGCCTGCCAGCAGGGCTCCCTGAGGAGCGTCAGTGTCCTCACCCAGTACTGCCAGCCTCACCACCTCCTCGCTGTCCTACAGGCAACCAACTACAACGGTACGAGCACACTGCTGTACACTGATGTCATTGTGCTGTGCTGAGATTAAGGTTGATGTCCCATAGAGCCCAAAGACCTCTGGAGAGGTAGAGGAGGATCATTATGCCCGATTGAGAGTTGAGAAGCCCAAAGCACACAGCAGCGTCTTGACTTGTTCAAAATGTGACTTAGAGGCCTCCTCACTGTTGGTTATTGGTTCTCATGGCTTTGAACCTTGCATTTTCAGCAAGTAGTTCTGCAGTGCTCCTAGATTTTTTGGTTGCAGTAAGTTGCACTCAAACACTGGAATAAAGCCTCTAAGAACTCTTTCCAGAATCCCACCCTGTTATTCATACTTGCTGGAAGCTGGAAGGCTCTTATGGAAAATACTGTTTTGCCATGGATGAATCGCAAACTTAGATATCATCCTGTCCTATCATCTTGATTTTAACTGAATGGTAGGACATTAGGTTAAACTTACTCAAATTTTCCCTTCATTTGTGTTTTGCAGGACATACATGTCTCCATTTGGCATCTATTCAAGGATACCTGGCTGTTGTTGAATACTTGCTGTCCTTGGGAGCAGATGTAAATGCTCAGGTATGTAATGTATACAGTGAATTTAACTGAGCTGGGCTGCGTAGTCGTTAGAATCAACAGGTCTGTCGCGGGCTCTGGCTCTCCTAACATGCTAAACCTTGTGTTGTTTTCACGCAGGAGCCATGCAATGGCAGAACTGCACTACATTTGGCTGTCGACCTGCAGAATTCAGACCTCGTGTCACTTCTGGTGAAACATGGGGCGGACGTGAACAAAGTGACCTACCAGGGGTACTCCCCGTATCAGCTCACATGGGGAAGAGAGAATTCCAGCATACAGGAACAGTTGAAGCAGCTGACCATGGCCGACCTGCAGATGTTGCCAGAAAGTGAGGATGAGGAGAGCAGTGAATCGGAGCCTGAATCAACAGAGGATGAAGTAAGTAGCTATTTGCACCTTTTCAAGGCAAGGGGCAATCCTGCCCCTTGTAGGTTTTCTTGTTGGTGCTGCTGTGATGGCGTGCTCCAGTGATCTCATACGTATATAACACATGCGTATAAATTGCCCATAAAGTAAGGTTACACTATCAACCATCAAGCATATAAATAGAAAAAGAATAAAAAGTAAAAAATAACATGAGGGAATGTTGCTTCATGCAACACTGGTCTATTGCTGACACCTACAGAACCTGTGAAATGAAATTCAAGGTAATGGATGGTTTTCTCCTCCGTAGTATTTGTTTTGCTAACATTCTTAGTACTGTTAAATGGCAAACGTAACCATTTCAGTGTAGAAATTTTACACGCTGCTGAAGTCAGGGCATGCAGAATTTGGCAGTTAGCCCAGAGTGGATACGATACTCCCAGAGTTTTTCATTAACAGCCTTTTGGGTTTTTTTGCAGCTTATGTATGATGACTGCCTCATTGGAGGACGACAGCTAACATTTTAAAGCAGAGCCTTCTGTGGAAAGAAGTGACTGTGTACATGTGTATAGAAAAAGGATTGACTTTTCATTTAAAAAGAAAGTCACAATGCAGAGGGAAAAACCAGGAGCGAAGTACTACACTGCCCAGCAAGGAGCACGTAATTGTGGCAGGACGGTTCCAGGTTCTGGCCTGTGTTTAAATACAGGAGTGGGATGTGTAACACCAGTAGAGATCTGCGATTATTCACACCATGTGATAAAGAGCCACACAGCCAATCTTCTCAACTCTGAAGGTAACCAGCTACACATCCAATCTGCTAGTTACAGCAAGCTGTCTAGTGGCATCGAGTACCACAAGGAATGCGTATCCTCTCATGACAAGGCAGGCATGTACCAGCACCCCATGCTCTTGGAGACTCTGTGTTATCTTCTGTTGGGCTGGTGGCTCTGCCTGGCCTTACTGACCAACCTCGGCTGCTCCCGGTGTCGTGTCCCAGGTGGAGGAGTCAAGCCAGGGGACTGGTGACCTCCTGGCTGTTAGGAAAAGTAGCAATAATGTTAACTGTGGGCATTGGAAACAGTATGTTTCACACCATGTGTGTCATAATTGCTACACTTTTTAGCAATTGTACATTGTGTAAATACTGTACATTTTTGTTTATAATTATTTTGGTACCTGTGAGATATGTATTTATTAAAAAAAGTCAGATTACTGTACCTGGTTTGTGAAATGGTTCATTACCCACCTCGTCGTCCTGAGCTACGGGGGAATCCACCTGCTTTGCTTTTTAAGAAACATTTAACTCCTCATAGACTGATGGGGTCACAGGCTCAGGGGTTTGAGGTGGTTTACCTCAGCAGCAGGAAGACATCTAAGAGCTTGCAGCTCCCAGCCCTTCTGCTGCAGCTAATTTTGGAAGATGTGGGTGTCGTTTCCGGTACCTGTGCCAACAGGCGGGTCGTGGGGCTGGGGTTCCCCCTCTGTCACCCAAGCACCAGGCCTCTGCTGCTACAGAGGGGTTCTGAGGTTGGCTGTGGCAGCACCCACCCACCCTTGTGGCACCTTTTGTTCCAGCTCCAGTAGTCGGCAGCTCCTGCCGGGACTTGCCAAGGGAGGCTGGAGTTTGCAGCACTGCTTGCCCTCTCGTTTATCACCTGGCCCAGCTCTGGTTTGAACTTGGACACCTTTGGATTTTCCAAAGGGGATTTCCTCAGGAAGAGGGAGCACACACCCGGGAACACGTGCTGCTGCCTTCCACCCCTGAAATTCAGGCATGGGGCCTCACCACCCTCCCTGCTGCAGGAGTTACAGCTCTCCCTGTCCAATGCAGAGCAGTGGAGGATGTGGTTTTAACCTGCTTCAGCTACTCCTGCGTGATTCCCTCCAGCATTCTAGCTGTTGGAATCACTTTGCTCAAATCCTCACCTGCACCTGATTATCTGTTGGCAGCACAGGACTAATCGTAGCCACAGATTTTAACCCATTGTATGACCCGTGGTGACCATGCCCCATTCCTTCTGTGCTGTAACCCCCTGGATGGGGATGAGGGGCACGGCAGAGCTGCTGACGCAGGATTGAGCTCTGCCAAGAGTGTTGGCCACAGGACTTCAGTGCTGCTGGCACCCAGCCCAGCTCAGGCCACTGGAGAAGGACAGAGTTCCAAGTTGCAGAGGGACACCCATTCCCTTTTCTGCTCCGCTCTCCCAAGGGGTTCCTGACGCACGACCTGCTCTAAGGAGGGGTCTCTGGTATGAGGAAGAGCACCACGGCCGGCTGGGTGCTTCCTAATTTGCATGGGAGCCAAAGGCCATTGTGGAAAGGATTATATAAAATTGTCATCCTGAGTCATTTTTATTTCCCTTCCACTCTCATTGCATGAGCATAGCCCAGGAGTACGCACTGGAACTTCCTTCTGGCAGACAGGGCCATGCCTCCACTGCAAACCTGCAAAGTTTTCCACATGTGGGGCTGGGTAAGAATCTGCTAAACTCTTCCTCTTCTTGGGAACTCACCCTGTTCTCGGAGTGACCATTAAATCTGAGCTGGGATTGGGAACTGAGGGGGATTACCACCTGCTGCAAAGAATCCCAAGGGACTTTCAACCTTTCTTGACTAAACACAATGTTGCCGCGGCTGGAAATAGAAAAGGCAATGTTCCTCTGACAAGCTGCACTTCAGTTTTCCCCTTGCAAAACAGAAGCTGGAAATGCTGTCAAGGCCTTGCAGAGGCATTCACCAGCTATTGATATGAGTGTCCTGGAAGTGCTCACGTACATGGCTGGACCTACTATGCACATATTTAAATAGATACCATCTGAATGCAAATACTTTTTATTCGAAGGCCAGACAGAGGGAGGAAAGTGCAGTTATCAGTAGTACCAGATTGGTCAAGCAGTTTTGGAGGCAGCAACAGGTTCCTGCTGCCCATTGCAACATTTAGACAAACAGTATCTCAGGAAGGTGCTGTTATAATCTTGCAAGGGTGCTATAATGATGTAATAAATTAACCAAATGCTTTGCTGTACAAGGAAGTTTTGCAGCTGAACAAATCATTGCCCAGGTACCGCATGCTGGTTATGCCACTGTTTGCCGCCACCAGTCACGCAAAAGTTACCACGTGTCATATGTGGAGGAACCATAGGTAAAGCAAGTAGGACAGAGATGAATGTGAGAATATGTGTTTGTTAGTAAAAGAGGTTGGGGCATGGTGTGTGCATTGCTAACATGGGGATATGCAGTGCAGGGTTTTGCCTGTTCACTTGATGACATAATGAGATCATCCACTGTAGGCCACCGCCCGCATGCCCAATTTCAAATGTGTGCCCTTAACTGCTGCATGTCCACCCTGTCTTTGGGGTTTTCCACACCGATGTCTTTAGAAAGATCTTCTGAGAGTGGTTTTGGTGATAGCCTGCCCTCATGCTTTGGTGATAACCTGCCTTCGTGGAACTCTGGCAGATACGTTGCATGGTCCCATTTGCAGGACTCAGAGCAAGAACTCCTTATGCATTTATTCTGTCAGAATCACTTTTTCCTTATTCAGCTGCCATGGCTGCTATTAGCAGAGCACAGCAGCTTGCTCTCACTTGTCCTACTACCAGTGTTTCCCTGTGCTGGCACAGGGTTCAGAATTCTCTCCCCAGCATCTCTGTCACCTGCCCTGGGTGGCTCAGCAAGCTCAAGAGCAGTCATGCTGCTGCAGGTCAAGGTCCTCGGAAGTTCAGTTTTAGTTTCCTGCCTCTGACCCTCTCTCCATTAGTCTCTTTCCTTTCCTCAGCTCCTGACATGCATGTGTCCTCTGCTCTTACTGTCCCTGTGTCCACTTCTGCCTGCTCTTTTCTCCTTTCCAAGGTGAGCACCTTTCCTCAGTTTCTTCCTCCCTCTTCTCTTGCAACACCACCTCACCCTGAAGCCATTCACCCATCATGACAATACACAGCATGAGGCTGCATTTTTGTTTCCAGCCTTTCTCCACTGCCCATTCTTGTAAATCTCTTTGATAATCCCACATGGATATTCCCATACTTCCTTATATTGCACACAAAGAGCTGAACTACCCATTTCCTCCCACACCCTCCTCTTCCTCCTCGCACTACAGCTCCCTGCAGAGCTACCCATCCCAGCCACAACCCAGGGGCCACCTTCAGTCCCTGCCCTTCAGCTCACTCAGGATGAGCCGTGCACTTCCCAAGAACCTTATGGTGGTGACAGATAAAGTGCAGGCTGCCAGGGCAGCAATGGCAGAGAGCAGAGACCAGGTCCTGATCTTTCCCCAGTAAATGGGGAACCCTTCTCTTTCATTCACTGCAGCTTTGGAAAGTGTTAAAATCAAGGGCAAACAAAAGGCAACCCTACACCTAGGGACACTCATGGGGCGGCCTGCGTCCTTGCACTAGCTCCAGTATCAGCCTGACCTTTGCAGTTGTGAGAAAAGACCTTTCACCACCCTGCCCACCTGCTCGCTCTGCTGCTGTCAGGTTATGGTACAGTGTCCTCCTTGCATGCAGCTTGGGCTGTGTGGGCTGTTTGATGCATAGGTGGGTGCCTCAGCTCCCGCAGCAGAGAGACGTGGCATGGGCAGCCCCGGGAGCTGCCTGTCTGCTGATGGGCTTGGAGATCATAAGGGGCCACAGTCCTAACCTGGGTGCCTTAACTCCTGCTCTCCTCCTCCTCCTTCAGTCTTCTGAGGTTAGAAAGGGGCTTCCTATTGACTACTTAGCATTTTACACACCAAGAAGAACTATAGGGCCAGACAGGACGGACAGTGTTTACTAACCATCTGCCTGGCATCCAACTGGTGGGCAACATCTACCTGTCTGCCCCAGCAGGGCTTGATGCACCAGAAGGCAGTGAGGTCACCAGGACCCTTAACCTATTCCCAAAAGTGGCAGCCCCACCACTGCTGCCTTTGCCCCACAGCCTCAGTTCAGATTTGGATGAGCAAGATGGTTGAGTGAGGAAAGGAAGAGGCGGAACCAGCAACAAATCCTGAGGAAAGACACTGCGATCTCCAAGGAGGAGGACAAGTATAATTTGTGACTTGTTTGAATAGAAATCTCTTCAATGTTGGTGGATTTGGGGCTGGGTAGGAGCCCAGCACAGGGAATTCTTCTGCAGGAGCTGAGCTGTGGAAATAATTAAGCATCTGGTGTTCCTAGAAAAAAGCATTGCAGAATGGACTGCGGTGATGGCAGGGAGGACCCTCTCCCTGGAAGAAAGCCCACCCTTACTTCAGGGGTGCTGGAGGAAGGGCTTTTCCAGCATTACTAATCTCCCAGTGCCTGTGCTTTTCTGGAGAGTGAGAGCTGTGTGGGATCCCAAGGGATGAGGGAGCAGGAAAGTCCTGTTCCCTTGCACCAGCCAGGGCAGCGCTACACAGCCTCTCCTCATCTCCAGCAAGCGCCTGTCACAGCTCTGGCACCTCACACCACTATGTCCCTTCAGGTGGCTCTCTGAAGCATTAACATCAGGGCCAAAGAGCTCCCTTTAAATGCTGACACATTTATCAGGGCACAATGTAAGAAGCCAAAGTCTGGAGTGATTGAAACCTCCCTGAACACCCTGGAGGTTTTCCTGCCCTTCCTCCCTCCCCTTGCTCCAGCATTCAGATTTTCCCAGAACTGTCTCCCTGTCCAATTTTCCAAACAGGACTTTCCAGTCCCTGTCAGAAGAGAGCTGGGGTTTTCCCCGCTCGCTCCTGTCTGCAGTTTTACCCCTTTACAGCAGCCATGAGCTATGGCGCTGGGCTCCATTGCTTCTCCAGCAGTGGGAGTGCAGCCTCCTGCCTGTCCACCACCAGCCCTAGGGACTCCCCTGCTCCGAAGGAACAGGCCTGCAGCCTTTTAATTTAAATTTGTTTCCTATTCCCAGTCTTAGCTAATCCAGATTCATTTTCCTCCCCATCTTTCAAGGGAAGCTCTCCATCCCTCCAGCTGAAAGCAAAACAAGAGCAAATGCATCCAAAGTGTTGCAAGAAGAGCCTCAAAACACAAATATTTTTAACATGCATGCACCCAGTGAAGGGCACACAGCTGCAATTACAGTGTGACACTTAACTCAGTTAATTATTAGCCATGGATTTCAGTAGCTTGGAGGAGGGAGTTTCCCAGGGCCCTGTGAAAGATCTCT